CCCCGAAAGAGAATTTTGATTTCTCTGCATGTGTTGAAGGGTATATTTGGCATTTCGAAAACCAATATCGGATGAATGAGAAATTACGAAAAAGACCTTAACCATTAGTGAATAGACACCTTTTCATAAATATGCATTGTTTGGAAATGGTGCATGGTTTGGTCTCAACCATTTCGTCCACACCCCTTCATGGTCTATAAATAGGACCCTTTGGGTGTCCTATTCCTCACAGTTTGAAATGCAAAACGTTTCTCATCCTCTCTTCTATCCAAAATCAAAATCATTTCGTTTATTTTGATTTTCTTTCATTTCATTCTTGGAGTACATAAGCCTAAATTGGTTCGTTGTACTTGTGTTTTGGAGTGCTACAAACACAAGTGTAGCCGTTGTATCTTGGGAGTCGATTGCCGAAATCCGTAGGCACCGTTGCGGGGCAAATTCGACTTAAGGACAAAGAGTCCAACTCTTGCCTCGGCTTTGTCACCATCATTATACTTATTTCAGCGTCACTATTCACAAAATTCATCCAACAGTTACTGTCACAAGAAGCAAGATATAAACGTGTCATGTAATAATTTGACAAATGTGGTTGTCCGAGTAGGACACATCCTAGGTCATTTATACATTGTTCATTAATAAATTTCATTTCGTTCTCTATGTAATAGTAATTAAGTTTATTAATTACATATCTTAGAATAAATTTAATTAGATTAAGAAGTTAGGTAGCTAACTTGATATGCACAAAGTTGACTTTAATGTCACAATCTTACTACGCTTGATGTTGAATTTATGAACGATTCTATTAAATCTAAAAGACGAGATATCTCGTAGAGATATATTATAGGAGAGTTAGTTATAATTGTTAAGTTTTTTCAATTAAAATAAATTTATTCTGATTTCAACTATAATTGTTAAGTTTATCATTAATAACAAAAAAAATAAAAATAAAATAGCTTTCATTAAATAAAAATTAGTTGAATTAATACGAGGCGGTATGATTAGTATGGTTAGTACACGTGGATAGAAAGTCCGGAAAAAGTCTGCATGGAGAATACGACTTTTTTGATGTTTCTAGAAGCCTCAAAAAATTAAATATTTTTTCTAAATTAATTAATTTATCTCAAGATCCTATTTACCAAAGTACCCCTGAAAAATCCTTTTGCTAATTTCATTGTGTCACGCATCATGAACCAATAGCAATATTGTTTTTGCTCAATAACACTTTCTTGTGCAAGAAGTTTGGATAAATACGTAATTCATCATATATTTTTTGTTCTTTTACACGATACAGTTTCTGTTATTTTATTTCTTTTTCGTTCAGCTTTCATCGTCACCTGCTCTGAATCTTCTCGCAGCACAAAGTTCCAGTCTTGATTTTTCGCGTAAGTTCCCTCATTGTTCAACATTATACTTGTTGGAGAGAAGTTTTCTAAGAATCTTCTAGCTATACGACAATTTTCAAGAATATATAGATACATGATGACGCGTGTAAGTAGTTGAAAAGTCCATATTAATCGTTTAGTTAAAAATAGTGTCTTCAATTAAGATTTTGATAGATTTTAAAAGATTATAGATTCTAATAAATTTCGTGAATTTGAATAAATTTCTACAAATTTCTTAAGAATCTTGTTAAATATGGTGAAGTTTCAAAAGATTTGATTTTAAGCTTGAAATTTATCAAAATATTTTTAAATCACTCTATTAATGAAATTTTTACGAATCCACTAGTTATTGAAAATATCTAAATTTTAAATGATTTAATTGAATTTTATTAAATTCGCAATTAAGAAAACCTAGTCTCAATTGAAAACACCTCTTAAACTTTTATTTAAGATTTTAAGTTCAATTAATTTGAACAGTACTTGTAAATTTTATGAAATATGTGGATAAAAATTAATTATAAACATGTGCAAAACAAACACTAAATTCCTAAGTTTGTACGTTAGAGCAAATCTCTCAAAAGTTTGTTATAGCAGATCTCTCGTACTAAATCTTAATAATGTTAGCTAAACTAATCACAAAAAATATTGATAATATTTATTTTTCACAAATTTTATTGTAATTTAAAAATAGGAAAAAGCTGGGAAATATAGATTCATGTAAATCAGTGTTCAGATTTTGTCTTTTCTTCTGGAAGCTTAAATGCTTACAGAAAATAAGAAAAGATCCAGAAACAAACAATTCAAGAAAATTACTCACATTTTCTTGGAATTGATTGAAGCTTAAAGCAGAAAGAAATCATGTTTATCGTTTTTCTTTTCTTGGCCTGTTTTCTCCTCCTCCTCCTCCTCCACGTCACCCCACCCCCCTGAAAATTTCAATATTATCAATAGATTTGTATTAGAAATTTAAAATTGAAAATTATTGAAGGGGTTTAGTGGTTTATTTTATTTTGAGAATGGTAGTTGAGTTTGAAAGTTTCTTCGAACCAACGATCCTGTACAAAACCGCAAATCCTATAATTGTGAAAGTCAAACATTGTGAGAGAGAGAGAGAGAGAGAGAGAGATCCAAGTCAATGTTCAAAGCTTTTGTTCCACGAGAAAAACCATACATTTGAATGATTCTTCTCACATTACCCATTCTCTTTCTCCAAATCTTATTTATGTATTCAAAATATATACATATTCTCATGTATATTAGAATTATAATTCACTTTTATTTGTTTTACAGCTGAAATTTTAGGTGCCTATCAGTCTTTTGTTTCTGAGTTACTGAGTTTCTTGAGATATTGGGGTGTATTGATCCAGCTGAATTGGGGGTACCTGTCTTCTTTTGTTTTAAAGCCTTCATCTTCACATAACCTTAAGTCATTCTTCCTTTCTTTGATTCTCTGCTTCTTGGTTCTTTTGACAACTGGGGTTTTTTTCTGTTCCCTATAAAATATTTGTTTATTGTTTGGTTAGTGGAGAGATTTTAATTTTTGTTGGAATTTTTGGGGTTCAGAACTTGATAAAAAGAGCTTTTTCTTGAAGAAGTTGCAGTTGTCAGAGTGCATTTTATTAGTGTAATAGAAAAGGCAAAGGTTCTTGCTCTTGTTGTTGGAAGTTTGAAGAGAAATGAAAACTAGTAGAAAAAAGAGGTTGCATTTCAGCAAGATCTACTCGTTCAAACGTGGGAAAGGAACATCAAAAGTTGATCATACAAGGATTGGGGGACCAGGGTTTTCAAGAGTGGTGTATGTTAATGAACCAGATGGTGTGGAGGCAAGTCTTAGGTATGAAAATAATTATGTTAGAACAACTAAGTATACTGCTGCAACTTTCTTGCCCAAATCTCTGTTTGAGCAGTTTAGGAGAGTGGCTAATTTTTACTTCCTTGTAACTGGCATCTTGTCCTTCACATCACTTGCACCTTATTCTGCTGTAAGTGCCATTATTCCTCTAATTATTGTTATTGGAGCTACTATGGTGAAAGAAGGTATCGAAGACTGGCGGCGAAAGCAACAGGTGCTTTGATTCTTAATCTCGTTATATCTTTATTTATGTTATAGTTATTGAGTTACCTTTTACAGCATATTAGTTCTCTTTTGATTTGGTAATTTGTGGAATTAATTTGGGAATTGTTTGAAGAATTTTGGAGCGATCTGTTTATTCATAAAAAAAAGCAATGATTAAATGGCTTGTGAAGGTTTTTCTCCTCGACTGTTAAATTCGATCCAAAGAATAGGAGTTTGAGAACATGTTTTAAACTCTATATTCTTATCAGCATCTTAAGGGATTTATTTGTTCTTATGATAATACTATGCCTTCAATTTTTTTACTTCTTCCAAATAAATAAATAAAATAATAAAAAAATAATCAGTTTTTAACAGATTTGGGGTTTTCAGTGTAATATCCAATTTCAATAGTTTAAATGTGCCATATCATCTTGCCTGTTTTGAGATGTTTATTATATGAAGTTTGTTTACAAACAAAAAACTGCTAGTGTATATGCTCTTTTAGCCAATTGTTACTTTTGGCTTGATAATGATGCCTATTGAAAATTTCAGGATATTGAAGTGAATAATAGAAAGGTCAAGGTGCATAAGGGTGGTGGAGTTTTCGACCATATCGAATGGAAAAATCTAAGAGTAGGTAACATTGTTAAGGTGGAGAAGGATGAATTCTTTCCGGCAGATTTAGTTTTGCTTTCATCGAGTTATGAAGATGCTGTCTGCTATGTTGAGACGATGAACCTTGATGGGGAAACAAATTTGAAACTCAAACAAGCATTAGATCTAACTTCATCCTTAAACGAAGATGAGGGTCTTAAAGATTTTCGGGCTATCATTAAATGTGAAGATCCTAATGCTAATTTGTATAGTTTTGTTGGAAGTATGGAACTCGAGGAGCAACAACATTCTCTTTCTCCTCAACAACTGCTACTTCGAGACTCTAAACTTCGGAACACGGACTACATATATGGAGTTGTTATCTTCACCGGTCATGACACGAAAGTTATTCAGAACTCTACAGATCCTCCGTCCAAGAGAAGCAGAATTGAGAAGAAAATGGATAAGATTATTTACTTCTTATTTGGTGTTCTATTCTTGATGGCTTTTGTTGGATCAATTTACTTTGGTATTGTAACCAAAGATGACTTAGAAGGTCAACCTAAAAGGTGGTATCTTAGACCGGAAAGGGCAAATATATTCTTTGATCCAGATCGAGCACCAATTGCAGCAATATATCATTTTCTGACAGCCTTGTTGCTATACAGCTACTTGATTCCAATATCTTTGTATGTGTCAATAGAAATTGTTAAAGTTCTCCAGAGCATCTTTATAAATCAAGATATTAATATGTACTATGAGGAAACCGACAAACCAGCACATGCCCGCACCTCAAATTTGAATGAGGAACTTGGCCAAGTAGATACGGTACTTTCTGATAAGACGGGTACACTGACTTGTAACTCAATGGAGTTCATTAAGTGCTCAGTGGCTGGCACTCCTTATGGATATGGTGTCACAGAAGTTGAAAAGGCTATGGCTAAAAGAACAGGGTCTCCATTGTTGGTAAATGGAGAAGAATATTTTGAGGATCACATCAATAAAAATAAGAAATCATTCGTCAAAGGTTTCAATTTTGATGATGAAAGGATCATGAATGGGAACTGGGTAAATGAGCCCCGTTCAGATGTCATTCAGAAGTTCTTTCGCTTACTGGCAATCTGTCATACTGCCATACCTGATGTGGATGAAGACACGAGTAAAGTCTCATATGAAGCTGAGTCACCCGATGAGGCTGCTTTTGTTATTGCAGCAAGAGAAGTTGGCTTTGAATTCTTCAAAAGAACTCAAACAAGTGTGTCGGTGAATGAATTGGATCCTGTGTCAGGCAGAAGAGTTGAAAGGTTAGCATCTTGTGCATCTTTGCATCTTATTTTCTTTTATTTCTCTTACTTGGATAAGCATCTTTACACCAATGTTGCCTCTTGCATACATGAAAAACACTCTCTCCCTTTCTTCAATGCATCTTGTTACAATACCTACGAATAACCAATCATATGGAAGTTCACATAAATCTAGAGGATAACTTTCTTGTGCTAATTTCTTCTTTTATATTACCCACCAACAGTATCTTCAGCATCCTTGTTACAAGCGTGCAAGTGATTGAAAAAAATTTCCTTTAACTGTAAGCATAACATAAACTTTGTGTAACACACACTTCAATACCAGAATGACTATTTAGTCTCATGTTTGGGTTCACAACATGTATTATTTAGACATATCTTGATCTAGCGACATTGGAACATATTACAAAAGTAATTTCTGCTGATGCAGGACATACAAACTTTTAAATGTTTTAGAGTTTAATAGTACAAGAAAGCGTATGTCTGTGATAGTAAGAGATGAGGACGGAAAGCTTTTATTACTCTGCAAAGGTGCTGACAGGTTGGTTTCTGTGCAACGTACTGAACTACAATTCACATCTTCTATCAGTTCATTATCTCGGATTTCAGTTGATTCCTAAGCCACTTTTTCTGTTCTGTCTTTGACCCTCTTCTTTCTCTGCTCCGTTTTTGACCTTATTTTAGTGTCATGTTTGAGAGGCTTTCAAAGAATGGAAGGGAATATGAAGTAGAAACCAGAGAACATGTACATGAGTATGCTGATGCAGGCTTAAGGACCTTGATACTTGCTTATCGGGAACTTAGTGAAGAAGAATATGAGGTGTTCAATCAAAAAATTTCGGAGGCCAAAAACTCAGTTAGTGCAGATCGTGAGGTGTTGATTGATGGAACGACAGAAGAAATCGAAAAGGATTTGATTCTTCTCGGTGCAACAGCTGTTGAGGACAAGCTCCAACAGGGGGTGGGTTTTTGCTTTAGGATTTATATGCAGAACCATCGTGCTCCATTCTTGATAAATTGTGAGCTGGACACTGAGTTTGGTTAACTAATGTTGTTCCTGGCAGGTTCCTGAATGTATTGACAAGCTTGCACAGGCAGGAATTAAAATATGGGTTCTGACTGGAGATAAGATGGAAACTGCTATTAATATTGGGTATGCTGTTTGCACAAATTCTAACATGAGCTAATTTGAGGCTCAATTCGGTTTTCAAGAGATTCCTAACTGTAAAAATCAATTCTGCAGCTATGCATGTAGCTTACTCAGACAAGGAATGAAACAGATTATCATAAACTTGGAGACTCCAGAGATCACGGCACTGGAGAAAACGGGAGAAAAGGATGCGATTGCCAAGGTAAATCCATATCTATTGTTTTAAACTTTCATTTTAATGAAAAAAGTGAGAACTGCCCATCTACTAAGAACCTTGTTGTGATTTATGAACAACTGGTTGTATGACTCTCTGATTGCAGTAAAACTATAGTTTTTTCATCAACCATGATTGTTGAATAACGTGAGTTTAATGATTCTGTATTTTGATTCTTCATCAGGCTTCGAAGGAAAGTGTTCTCCGTCAGATTACTCGAGGGAAGGCTGAAGTTTCTACAGAAAGCTCTGAGGCATTTGCTTTGATAATTGATGGGAAATCTCTTGCATATGCATTAGAAGAAGACATCAAAAAATTGTTTCTCGAACTTGCTATTGGCTGTGCGTCTGTAATATGCTGCCGTTCGTCCCCGAAACAAAAGGCATTGGTGAGTTTATATGCACGTAGCTTCCATTGAGTCTGGGTGTTGGCTTTCTATAATATCTATTATTTTCTGTATTAATTTTTCTTTTTCATGAACCATAAGTTCTTAATAAACAAGTAAAATTCCTTTTAAATCTACAGGTAACAAGACTTGTTAAAGAAGGAACCCAAAAGACAACTTTGGCAATTGGTGATGGAGCGAATGATGTAGGAATGCTTCAAGAAGCAGATATTGGAATTGGAATAAGTGGCGTTGAGGGAATGCAGGTGCAAAAGCTATTAGTGTACCGGTCATTAATCAGAAAGTTTATTCTATTTCCTATGTCTTGCCTCACATTTCATATTGTTCCTTTGCACGTATCAGGCAGTCATGTCAAGTGATATTGCAATTGCCCAGTTCAGATTTCTGGAACGCTTACTTTTGGTTCATGGGCATTGGTGTTATAGAAGGATATCTTCAATGGTAGATCACTTCGTCGTTGATTTTATCAAACTATTATTTTTCATTAAAGATTTGTATCTATCCTTGTTGGGTTAAATAACAACCAATAATTAAAAGAATTATTTGAAACTTTGTTTGCTCATCTTTACGCAGAAATTACAGTAAAATGTTTTATGATTTTAGAACTCATTCACATATTGATTTCGTATACCTTTTGTGTGCAGATATGCTACTTCTTCTACAAGAATGTCACGTTTGGTTTCACAGTTTTTCTATACGAGGCATATGCATCATTCTCTGGACAACCTGCTTATAATGACTGGTTTTTGTCCCTTTACAACGTATTCTTCACATCACTACCAGTAATTGCTATGGGGGTTTTTGACCAGGATGTGTCTGCCAGATTGTGTCTAAAGGTATGCTATTAGTTAGTAAATTTGTCAATCCAGTATAAGTTCTAGACATAATATGATGTTTATTATAGCCTGATGCTTACTGCAGGATTTTCATCTGCTAAATATTCTAAATAACTATCTGAATTTTTTTACTTTATGTTCTCCCAGATCTCAGTTTAAAAAAACTGGCTAGACAAGCCCAAAACTTATAAGAATGCTTGATATTTCCTCATTTTTTGTTCCTTTTCATGTGACAGTTTCCCTTGCTGTACCAAGAAGGCGTGCTAAATGTCCTGTTCAGCTGGAGGCGTATAATTGCATGGATGGTTAATGGGCTTTGCAGTTCCATCATCATCTTTTTCTTCTGCAAAAGAGCACTAGATCCTCAGGCCTTCAATAAAGATGGAAAAATCGCTGAGTTCCAAATTTTCGGGGCTATAATGTACACCTGTGTTGTCTGGGTTGTGAACTGCCAGATGGCGCTCGCCATCAGTTACTTCACCTTAATCCAGCATATTTTTATCTGGGGCGGGATTGCTTTATGGTATCTTTTCCTCTTGGCCTATGGGGCTATGCCTCCAAGCATTTCCACAACTGCATACAAAGTCTTCGTTGAATCTCTTGCCCCGACACCTTCTTTCTATATAGTCACACTCTTTGTGGTTATCTCAGCCCTGATACCGTACTTTGTATTCAACACAATTCAGATGAGATTCTTCCCAATGTACCATGGGATGATACAGTGGATAAGATACGAAGGTAGGTCAGATGACCCTGAATACTGCAACATGGTGAGGCAGAGATCTATACGAACAACAACTGTGGGATTTACTGCACGTTCATTAGCACGAACAAATCCATTGAATTCATCAGCACGAACAAATCCATCGAATGATAGAAGTGCTAATCACAGATAACGATTACGTATGTTCCCTTCGTTTCTTAATTTAGAAACTCTTCCCATTGTAAATGATTTTGGAGGCTGGTTTTATTCAACGAGTATATGCCTTGATGAACACAAGGTCTGTACAAAAGTATAAGTTCGGTAAAGGCTCCATTACTTTGTAAATATTGTCATTGGGGTGGTTACAAGTGCAGTAGCCATGTTTATTTATTCAATTTTGTATCCTGTAACAATCAGAGATTTTCATCAAGTAGAGAAAAACATCCATAATTGTGGATGAGTTCTAAGAATAACACAAGGGAATTTTCTATTTATCCTAGATTTCTGTCATCTACTTTTTGCTGTAATATTTATCTTGATTCTTAGAATGTACTGGTTTAGTTATTTGATTACTCCAGCAGTTCTAAAAAGGCATTCAATACAAATCAATTTGCATCAACAAAAATCTTAGCAAATCAACTGATAGGGGCCTTTTCTTGTATTAAACTACCACACGTCCACAATTTATTATCGGAATATTAAATTTTTCTCCGGATAAGGTAAATATCTTTGTCTTGTAATAAGTTAGGTATCATCGAGTTTCTCAAATCCACGAACAAACAATAAGTATAACAATGATTATTAAATAATCGACAATATACATTAAAAGTTTCAATTAAACTGTCATCTGATTAATAATCATCCTCAACTTGTCAAAAGAACAATGTTATCTTTATTCATGTCATTAAAGAAGCGTTTGGCATGGATCTTTGGGCAAATTCTGATGCCATTTCCTCCGGGAACGACGTTGTTAACATAGTGCTCGACCAGAATTGATCGTTTTATACGATTAATGAAGTTGCTGATCCTTGTATCTATTTATCTATCTATCTTGTCTAATTTGTAGAGTCGATGAAAAGGCTCGAAATGTCATAGCTAGGACACGGTGAGTCCAAGGTATTCACCTGTAAGTATTATGCCCTAAATCCAATCGATTTAGGTTGTAAACGCTTTTAATATATTTAATGCATTTGATTTGGCGAGATCTATTATTTATTTAAATTAATTTTGTAATAAATGATATTAAATAATAGAATCCGAAGACCCAATTTTTAGGTAATCTGTTAATCACAAGGAGTTGTGATTGTGAGATACAAATTACATATAATTGGATCTTAAATAAACCATGGTCGTAAGTAATAACGAGATACGGATATCGTTAATACAGTTAGACCATCACGTGTGGCATTTCTTACTTATGAAGTAAGTAGCTGATCTCACGAGCTAAAGTGTGGTGACACTTAAATGAACATGTGGATGTTTTGTTGTAGAACAAAACATTGGAGACCCGCTAAGAGATTCCACATGGATAACTATCTGAGTGTCAGTGGCTAATCTCTAACGTTCGGTAGTGGGATTGATCCTTTGACTTGAGGTCGTCATAGTACCCTATATGAGGACAGTCATACTTTGGCGGTGTTGGATGTTGCTCTGAAAGGGGCCGCTAATACGACATCGTTCGGGTACGTCAAGAATCGTATGAAGGTTGTGATTGATCAATAAAGGATTCGTCACTCTTAGATAGTAGGAGATGATCTGCGTTTCATTCAATTAAGTCGATGATGAAATCCTTGGCCAAGGTGTACTCATAAGTCGAAAAGGAGTTTTCGATTTATATTGACTTAATAGTGAAATGAAAGATATGATCGATGATCGAGATTGACACAATTCCATATCTCGTAATTGATCGGATCATATTGACGAAGGGATAATAGTTCCATGATAAACGAACGATTTTGGTTTTGTCATACCACGTGACATTTCCCGTCACATGTATTGCCCTGACACATTGCTAGATGTCAATCAGGGACGGCGGATGTGAGTTGACGATAAATTAAAAGGGTGTATTAATTTATCGATTTTGATTAGATCAAAATAATATTTCACGACGTTAGGCATCGTGGTCGGGAACCTAATGGGTCGCACACAAAAGAGAATTGGAAGACTGCAAATTGTTAATTGATTAATTTAACAATCGTTGGATAAATTAATTAATTGAATTTCTTATTTATAATCCCGAATTAATTAATTGGATTAATTAATTCACGGACCGAGTTTGATTAATTGGATTAATTAAATATTGGACCGGACCGGGCCGGGTCCGTTTGGGTTTATATATATATGCAGCTAGGGTTTGAGGTCCATTAAGTTATTCATTATTCTTGCTAGCACAAGAAAGAAACCCTAGCAGTTGCTGTCTTCTCTCAGTGTGGATTTCATTGGAGGCTGCACAATTGGACAGCTGTGGGAGGCAGATTCAAGCTGCTGGAAAGGAATAACGCGAAAGAGTTTGCAAATCACACAAAAGGTATATTTCTCATCACAATTTTTATCTAAATACAAAGCTGAATCCTGAATGGGAATTGAAGTTTGTTAAATTCCGCTGTGCATGTTTAAATCAATTCCCAACATCACCAGCAGATTTTCCGAGGATGCTAGCAAACTCATTGAAACTTATGACACCGTCGCCATTCATATCGATTTCTTGCATCATATCAGATAGCTCGTTATGTCAAGGGGTGTCCCATCTTCGCCATTGAACCGGCCAACTCGGCCTTAGTGATATAGCCATTTCCATTGCGATCAAAAGATCGGAAAATCTCCATTAATTGCTCCGAGTTGAGAAAAACCTCCTCATTCAAGTCTGGCAATATGGCATCCACCATCTCGTAGAATTCTATGAAGCCATTGCCATTGGAGTCCATTTTAGCCAATAGGACATGGATTTGATCATCACTCGGTTCAAGCTGATCGCTATGAATCTTGGCCATCATGTCCGCTAATGCAAAGGAGAAGTTAAAAGAAAGAACGGAGAGAAAATTATCAATGTTTAATTATTTTTGTTCAAATCTTTGTGTTGGTCCATTTAATATTGTGGGGTTATTCTTCTTTTTTTTTTTAACATTGAATAATCCGAAAGTGAAATCGCGTCACACATGGGAAATCAAGTTTCAATGAGTCTCCAGTACATTCTTCTAGTATTAAGTTGGTCATCAATCTTTAAAAAGGAGCAATATTATTCTCCACTCTTTTATTATATTCATTCAATTAGTCACAAAAGATAAAAACTATGTTAAAAAGTCTCATAGTCCCAATATGCCTAATTTTAAGAAGCTATGTTTTGCTTCCAAACTTGAGTTGGTGCCCTTATATTTTGAAGTGAGGTATGTTCTCACGATGGTCAATTGATAATTTAACGAAAATTTGGGACGATTTTCTTTATTAAAATTCAATTTTCCAACTACGAAGAAATATTTCGATCAATTTCCTACTTTTAAAGTTTGAAGATCAAATTCGCATGGAGATAATAAGTCGGATACCAGTAGTTCAATTTTCCCTTTAAGTATTGTGGACATTGAAATTGAATTACGTGTGATATTGACATATTATATTCTTGCTTATTTTTTCTCATTGAATTCTCGTTTTTGACCAGTAGAATGATTCCGCTAGAGGGTTGGTGAAAGACCATATCATGACCAATAATAATAATTCATTCATGTTTTAAGTCCCAACAATAGAGCAAAATGAATGAAGAGAAGAGGAAGAAGAATTAGATAATCGTTCATTAACTCTTCTTTGTTCTGGTCCGCTCTTGTCTGGTCCAGTGTATATAACATACTTTAGAGGTCCCACATTCGAGTTCAATTATGAAAATGAAAATTTTGTAAGCGTCGGCTAGCAGCTTAAGAAAGGAATATACTGCATACATAACATCATTAAAGATATGTGTGCTTCTTTATAAAATGGTCATAAACATATGGAAATGTGAAGGTTCTTCAGAAAATGCTAGGGCAAATTGACACAGCCAAATATTTCAATTAAATGACACTGAACAACCTCATAATCAAGTTCCTCTTCATTTAAACATGAAGTAGAAAATCTCCTTGATATCTCTCCACCCCAAAAGCTGCCAAAAGCAAACTCACCCCTATTCGAAAAATCCTCCAAAACATGATCAATTTCATCCATGCAACAGTTAAAACCAAGGGATTTATCTGTTTGAATTCGAAAGGAGTTCCCATGACTTCTGAAGCTGTCTTCTCCATATCTTCTTATTTCAATCTGCACAATCTTCTCTCGTCTCTTTTGATTTCTGAATCTTTTCGTGTATTCCTTCGTCTTTTTGACTAATTTGCAAGGAAGTTTGAGCAAGACGAAGACGAGGATTTGCAGGATCATGCATTGGCAGCAACATGTTATGACAATGCAATCTGCAGCAAGCATGTTAGGATCTTCCATAATTTCTGATGATAGCAAGAGAGGAAGAGAAGAAGGGGGGAGGGGGATATAGAAGAAGATTAATGGAAATCATTCCTTGTGAAGAAATAAGTTCCTTGTCACTTTGGAAGGGTATTATGAAGTGTGAAGCAATAAAATTGCATGCGGAAAAGCTAAAAGTAAGTTGAATGAGTCATTGAATCCCCATTATTTCAATGCCTAATCGAAGGATTTTAGCATCTGGTGAAGGTGTAACAGCTTATGGAATATTGTTTTCTAAGGAAAACAGCATGATAACTTGCATTCTACATTTGATGAATACCTGGAATATTTCCATTGATTACTTGAAGCCCTTTCAATTTCTTAAGAAGCTTGTCTTTCAAATAAAGATATTTTTAGTGTTTAATACAATATTTTGTTTTTTGTTGGGAATATGATAGATATATATATTCTTTATTAAGGTAAATAAAACGTACCCTGAACTGATACAAACTTGAAATGAAAATAAAATAGAAAATGGAATAAAGTTTAAATCGAAGCAAGAGTTGAACTCTCTGTCTTTAAGACGAATTTGCCATGCATGAGTGTCGACGATGGAATGACAATCGCCTCTCAAGATATAACAATTTCTTCTTGTGATTACAGCACTTTGAATAACAAGAAACAACAAATCAGATCAATGTTTTGTACTCCTTTTGATTGAAAAGAAGGAACATACTCCTTTTGATTGGAAAGGAACATTTGATGCATAATTTCTTGGAAATAATAATGTTTATGTAAGGTATGATTACTTGTAATTTGAATGAATGAATCTAACATGGGGTCTAATTTATAGTGGTTGAAGGGTTGCAGCTGCAGAGACCCAACCCAAAAAGCAACACGTTTACAAACAACCATATCTATTCGCAAACTGCTCACTTGGCGCCCCGCGATCTGTTTTTCAATGAGCAACTACTCTCCTAGCACCAAACGGCCACTTGAGCGGTTGATTTATTTAGGATTTTCTTGAATCAATTAATTTCAAAAGATCCATATTATCATCGTTACTTCATTCATTAATTTCTCATTCATTTGGGAGTAGTTTAGACATACAAATATACCAAACTCATCTACTCGCAGAGTACAACGTGTTCGACTAATTTTTTGTTACAATTGAATAGTGGGACCCATATAAATATTTGGTTAAAAATTGATATAATCATTCTTCTTCTTCACTTTTCCAACATTTTTTACTACAAAAAGATTCATCATTATACTATACCAGCTACTCTTATGCACAAGAATGCGTTCTTCTTGTTCTCTCACAATCATGAAAATATCATGTCGAAGCACAATACTCTATAACATCAGATATCCGACTTTTAGTCTAAATTGAAGACAGATCAGCGATCTCTTTTTTTTTTTTTTTTAATCAGATCAGTGATCTTTCTATTGATACAAGTTATACAGCAGAGCTTACCTTAAAAACGAACAATTATGAACAAAGAATCGTGCCAAGGGAGCAAAACTTATGCTTTCACAAGGCTTCAGCACAATCTTTTAAATCAATGATAATTGACTCCTAGTTAAATGAGTCAGTAAATAGAATCACAAGATGGAGGGTGCAATCAATATATATCCTTGGGTGGAAGTATCATAGTCTTATTAATGCATCAAAACTCTAAGACTCAATAGTGTACATCACCAGGAGGCTGCAAAATATAAGGATTTTCCATCAGACAATAAAAGGAATCAATGGAAAAACTTATATAAAAATGGTAATCACTGAACAAAAATTTGATGTTACTTACAGGGAAAAATTGGTGCAACAAATGAAAAATACTTATATATGCTAAAATAAACATTCTCTATAAAACCCTACAGGATTGGAAAGTCTGAAGTTGTGTCAGATGCACAGACAGTGAAACAAATAAATACCTCCTAGTCGAGCTGGTGTTGCAATTACATCAATATATTCAGCTGACCTGAGAAAAAAACTCTGGAACTTCAATGCATCAATCTTAACGACTGTTCTCCAGATGACCTTCACTACTCAAGTTATTTTGACTGAAAAAATCTGTACTGTAGTTTTGACTACCAAATGCCATCCTCCGTAACAATCTAATTTCTGCAGATTGTTGTGCAGAGTTATATATTGCACTTTCACCCACTTTCATTCCATTTGTCAAGTCCGACGTAGCTATACTATCAAACACCCTCACAACCTAAAAAGCATTACATCATTAGAATAAGAACCTTGTCAACAAAAAGCCAAAGAGTAACTCTGACAACAAGAGTTATACCTGTCCCATTTTCGGTCTCTTTGCAGCTGAATGGCGCACACAGACTGCAGCAGCCTCAATCATTCGAAACATTTCACTGTCAACATAATTTCCTTCAAGCCTTGAATCTGCCAACCTCTCAAATTCCCTCGTCTCAAGTGCATGACCAAGCAAAGGTCGAGCCTGTAGAAACACATCATGTAAGGAAAATTAGAATCTTAAATTTTCTTTATGTCGAATTTGCACTTGTTCTACCAATTGTGCAGAATGCAGATGTGCGGATTGATATTTCAGGTCATTTGAGCAAAGGTGGTAATTAGAAATATACATTTTAATTAGAGTCTCAAGTCTTTTTACCAAAGCCTGACACTGAGCTCCATGAAATGGAACTCAATAACAGAGCTATTCAAGGAGGGAGATAGTATCTACAGAGTGGAAATGTGAGCTCCAAAATCTTACTGCTTGCAGTCTATTTCATCAGACGTGAATAGTGAAGTTTATGCTCTAATCTGGAGCAGAATATATCAATTTTCAACCATCCTAATCTTTATCGTGAGAGAGGGAGGGAGAAAGGAGAGCACGCCAAAAGAATGTACCTTTCAAAACTTTTTTGTATATATCTTGAAGGAATAAAAATTGTAGAAGCTCAGGAATTGAAAGTAAAACCTGGTATAGAAAACCTATGTAGGAGTGGGATGGATAAATCCCACCCCAAAGAGGCACAACTAATTTGTCGCGCCTTCAGTATAATTGTGATATTTATTAATTAACTCTTTCAACAAGTTAGTGGTTGCAATAATGGCAGTGGGACACGTTCCTAGCTCAGAGCTTTCATTTCAAGGATCGGAATTGCTTTTTGTACTCGATAATTCATTAGTTATGGTTTGAGTTTGTACAATTTTGAACAATAGTAGTTTTATACTTCTTTACTACTGAGTTACCAGATAAAAACAAATCTAAGTGAAAACTATAGCATGATTGACCCATTCTTCTTGACGCTAAACCCAGACAAGAATGCTAAACCAGATAAATAAAAGAAATAATAATTTGTCATGCAAGCAAAGGTATAGGAGTAGTTATTGAGTCAAATAAATTTTGGTCATGGGAATTATAATAACTCACCCACTCTACAAGACTCTCCTCCCCTGCGGGTTGAGATGTATCCACAGGCTTGCGGCCCGTAATTAGCTCTAAAAGTACAACTCCATAGGAAAATACATCAGACTTATCTGTCAACTTGCCACTTGTTGCATATTCAGGAGCCATGTATCTGAAATTGATACCAGACAAATTAGAATAACAGTGATATAACACGTGATCTCTTGTGCTTCCAATTCTTTACCAGACCAGTTCTAGAATGCATCTTACCCAAAGGTCCCCATAACCCGTGTAGTGACATGCGTATTTGTATCCGTTGCTAATTTAGCAAGTCCGAAATCAGAAACCTGTGAAGTAGACAGTAGTTAATAAGAAGCACTTCCAGAAAGATATGTGGTGAAACGGGAAAAAATATAAAAGGGTTGGGCATACCCGAGCTTCAAAGTTGTTATCTAGGAGGATGTTTGATGACTTGATATCTCTATGAATAATACGGGGATGGCCTATTATATAATGAAGATCATTAAGACAATAGCAAATCGATAATTTCCTCTTCAATGACATAAAAATATCTAAAATATCGTCAATTATTCAAAGTTAAAAGGCCAGAACAAACTGCTGAATTGGAAACAAAATCAATCTTTTTATTTTTTTTTTTCAATATACACAGTAAATGTCGGTCACCTCTCTTCCTCAGTGTCATTGACACAGCATTCTCTAACACACTCTACAAGTTCTTTAGTAACTGTTAGAAGAAAGCGAGAGAGACTTGACCAATTAAATTCCTAGGATATTTATTTACATTGATTTAGATTATTGATCCTGCTAATAGATGCACTACTTGTATGTTTTCAAGATATAATCCAGATACAAAGAAGATCAGCTAAATCTTGACATTTAAAATTTCAGAAGCAAGATTTGGGAATATAAAATGGATATGACAATGATTTTTCCCTCCATTTTTCTCCTTCCTTCTTTTGTTTTCAACTAGGAGATAAGATGAGCATTAAGGTGACATAAATGTCATATTCCATTGCTACTCTTTCACGGTGTCCTTCAATAAATAAATAAAAATTCTTTTGTTTCACAAGGGATATCAACGTTGCATTTTCATGACCATATTCCATGTTAATCAGGATACATAACTAGATATATATTTGACCACGATAAGGAAAACGAGAACCAAAGTTAACAAGATTGCCATAAGGGAAGAGAATGTAGATAGAGACTTATTTCTTTTTGGAAGATAGAGCTATAAAGAAAACTTACTAAGAAATTAAAATATAATTGAAAAAAGAAGGATATAGGTAGCTTACAGTCTTCATGAAGGTAAGCTATTCCACGAGCTGCACCAACAGCAATCCGTACTCGTGTAGCCCAACTAATAACAGGTCTACCTTCACCTATGAGATGCAAGGAGCAAACAACGGTATTAATTAACATTGTATCATAAACCCATGATTCATGTAAACACTGACATTTACCATGAAGATGGAAGTAAAGACTATTATTTGGGACATAATCATATACAAGCAGCCTTCTGTTCTCCGAAATGCAATAACCAACAAGTGAAACCAAATGCCGATGGTGTATGCGACTAATTATCTCGACTTCAGATCTGAATTCTCGCTCCCCTTGTCCCCCATCAATCTTTAACTGCTTAACTGCGACCAATCTACCATCTGCTAGACATCCTTTGTAAACAGAACCAAATCCACCTTCACCCAAGAGATTCTGTCCTGAAAATCCGTTAGTGGCTTCAACTAGTTCTTCGTATGTAAACCATGGCCTTGAATTGCCCAAGGCACCAGGCTCACGTGGTGAATTTTCAAAACCACTGCCAGAGCCATTTCCATTGATGGGTGCTGATATTTGTACCTTCAATAAAGTGGAATCTGGACACAAATTTCTCAAGTTCTTATATAATTTGCAAACACGCAAAGAGCAAAGAGCAAAGACCAAGCGAGATGAGAAAGCAATATGGCAGTGCCGGAAAATTTACCTGATTTTGGTGAAGAACCAACAGAGGTTGGCATGATGTAAACGCCACCAAGCCCAGAGGCCTTTTTCTTTCTCTTCCATATGCACCACCATACCGATGCAAAGATGGATAGCAATAGAAAGACAAGTACTGAAACAATTGCTATAGTGACTCCAGTGCCAATGCCTCCACCACCTGCAGATTGAGAGCTTTTGGGAGCATTAGCGCTGGAATTGTTGTTGTTTGTTGGTGAGGACACAACAGAGGGAGGAGATGGTGGCGACCTTTGAGGAGAATTTGAAGATGGGGGAGATGCTGGAGTATAACGAGATGGTGGCGTTAGAAATGGAGGTGGAGACTTAGGGGGTGTCAGTAATGCTGACGGTGGGGGTGAACTTTCAGGAGAGATAGGTGCAGGAGGTAGAAGCGACTTCTGGGGTGGTTTGGCTGCTGGTTGAGGAGGCAAATTTCGAGGCGGCTTAGATAATGGTGGGGGTGGTGAATTCACAGGGGGAAGGCTAGATGGAGGTGGAGGCGAACTTTCTGGTGATTGTGTTGATGGTGGAGGACCTGGAGGTAGATCATTCTTTGGTGGCGCAGGTGGACTTGCAGACGGTATAGATGATGGCGATGGAGGTGAATTTATCGGTGGCTTAGTCGATGGAGATGGTGGTGAACTTGCAGGGGCACTGGATGGTGGAGGTGCTGAGCTAGCTGGAGGGTTAGACGCAGGTGGGGGTGGTGAGCTAGCTGGTGGGTTAGGCAGAGGTGGAGGTGAACTTGAAGATGTAGGCGGTGTATTGGCTGGCGGTGGAGAGGGTGCAGGCTGAGGAGGAGAAGATATAGTAGGCGGTGGAGAAGCCGCAGGAGGCGGGGGCAAGGCTGAAGGTGGTGGTGCAACATTGGTTGGAGGCGAGGATTGAGGTGATGGAGTGGTGGTGGGGGGAGGAGAATTGAGCTGAGGTGGTGGAGCATTTGATGGTTCTGATGGGGTAGAACTGGGAGGGGAAGGCAGAGGTGGTGGAGAATTGGAGGAAGCAGGTGGAATAGCAGCAGGTGGAGAATTTGGGGGTGGAGATTGAGATGCCATTTCATCAGCATCCAAGCTTAATTAAAATTTCACCATTTCCAACATAGCGTTAACAAATTGTAGGATTCCATTATCCTTCACGATCTAAAATCCACAATGAAATTGGCAAAATCGTAGTCTACAGCATCAATTGCATTCCAGAAAATCACCTCAAAACGTTCATCATAATTTATCCACGATCAGATCACCTCCCAAGATCATGCAAAAGAACATTTAACCCATCAGAAATCTGAAAAAGATAATAACCTTCAAATTGGAGTCAAATTTCACCAGTTCCGGTCGGGCGAAAAACAAAATCTGCACAGAATCTAGCAATCAATTTCCAGTATATTGCAAATCCGTATTTCCTATATCATAGTCAAATTCAGTGAAGGAAAACTTGAAGTTACTAGCCCCAATTCCACTTACTAAGCACAATTATAAGAAAAACCCAGATTATCAAAACACTTGCACGGGCAAGCCCACGATCAAAACCCCCAAATAACCGCTAAAAAATAAGCTTAACAGATTCGGCCAAAAACCCAGAAACCCAAAATCAAGAAAATCCTCAAAAATTCTTACATCAGTTACAGATAACAAAACTTGATTTTTTTATAAATTCTGAACCCTTCCTAAAGTGTTGATGCATAACCCAAAAGCGAAGGCCGTATAATCAAATGCCCAAAGAATAGACTACAGATGTGAACAATCCCACCCTTTTTGTCTCTTTCTTTTTTCACACAGCGATATCGTCAACAAATTTGCAGGTGCAGCCAATCTCTCATGCGCACACAATAAAGAAAATACGCTGCGTTCAACTCTTGAAAACTCAAAAAACACGGAAAATGGGGTACGTTGTAGTGCAAAAATCAGAGTAATTAACAGTGACTTCTGGGAATAAAACAAATCAAACTGTTAGAATGTGAATATAAAATATTTTGTGTGCATCTATTTTTAAAGATTAATAAGGGTCGTGATCAATAAGATCGAGGAGATAACATTTGGTTGTATTGAAGATCGTAATCAGTATGTGAAACTGTAAAAGTCTGTGCCAAGATTACGCAACGTTGCAGCCGCTAATGCAAAGAAAGCCATGGTGGGTTCCAAAAGTCAAAGCACTGTTTTAACGGCACAAATGTTTGGAGGTGTTTGAAAGCTATTTTCATGAAAAATGTATTTTAGAATAATAATTTGATGGATAGTAAGTGGTTGAAAGATAAAGAAACGTTTTTTATTTATTTGTAATATTATTTTAATAAAGAATTTGTGATTAAAAAGAAGAGAAAGAAAAATATATTTAGAAAAAAAAGGAATACGAAACGGGAGCTTTAATTTTAAAGAATATATTCTATCATTTAGAAAATATTTATATTTTAGAGAGTTAAAATTTTTAAAACTCCAACAAACTCTTCATATTTAATACTTAATTTTACTATTATAAAAAATATTTATTATTTTTTCTATCTTTTATTTTGACTAATTTTTCTGTGGATTATTTTATTATTGTCCTATATTGAAAATTGAAGCACTTTCAATGCATCTAATTATAGGAGTTGGAGAGTTAAACTCACTTTCTAAATTAAAATATTAATTTAAAAAATCACTTGACCGATAATTTTAAAAATCGGCTCTTTAAAATAGAGAGTATATCGTGTTTAAAATGTATCTTAAAGATGCTTTAAGAGAATATTATCGGGTCTATGTCCCAAGTTCTTGAGCCTATCAAAACGTCAGATGCCATGTCATCTTCGTCTTGAAAAATTTTGTTAATTTGTCTCCATTTCTATCTAATGCGAACTAAAAAGAAAAATAAAAATGATAGGTTAAAAAAAAAAGGAAAAAGAAAGAAAAAGGGTTGAATTGGAGAGATTTTTGCCTATATTTGTTTGGTTAAAAATTAGATTTTTAGTAAAGTTTGATAAGAATTAATGAAATGTGTAATAAAAAAGTTGATAAAAGTTGTGGAATAACATAAAATATATAATTGAATATAAATCTCAGAAAACAATAAGTTGTAAAAAAATATAGAACCAAACATTTTAGGGTATGTTCGGTAGTGATTATGAGAATTGATTTTTCAATCGTTAAAGATAAAAGTGGATTCCACCTATGAGTGAAGAAGTTAAAAATGATGACTGAAATAGTAAAATAATGATCAAAAAATCAATTTTTTAAAGTGAAAAATTACTATCAAACGAAAGTTTAATGTGAAATGATGTAGTGACCAAATGGAAATCACTAGAGATGGGGACTCGTTACGCGTTTAAGGTTCGACTTCAGTAATAAATAAATAAATAAATAATAAATCATGAAGATGGTGACCATTGGCAGTTTTAAGGTTCCTCTTACAGTCAAAAAAAAAAAAAAAGAAAAAGAAAAATCATGAAGATGGTATTGGTGGATTTAAGGTTCCTCCTAGTCAAAAAAACAAAAGAAAGAAAGAAAGAACAATTTAACTTTTAAATCGATTTGTCACTTGAAAAGGGTGTTGTGAATAAGGATTAAGATGCGAGTTTCCTTTTTTCTTTTTTCTTTTAACTTTTTCTTCATTGGTTTAGGATAACAATAAAGGTTGACGACATATCCATCAAATATGAGTTTATGTGTGATGAGGATGCAATCTAGATGTCATGAACATGAAATACGACAAGCTTTACTTTATTATATTTCATCATTTTCATTTATTATTTCCTAGTGGGTGTTTTTGAAAAATTCGTTTAGGAATTCAGGGAGCAATTATTTGATTTGTTACTTGTAGGCGGCGTGAGGGATTCTTGGCGTAATTTGACTGAAATTGCTACATTGATGAGTGAATTTTCTCCAATTAACCGACGTTCAAAAGAATTGACAATTTATTGATTTCACATTCGCCTTCAATCATTACACTTTTCGTTTCATCAATCTCAAAATATTGAAGTGAGTACATTGAGGGTCAATTCTTGGATTTTGCTCTCTAATGGTCACTAATTTGAGTTCCCTCAGGATCACAGAAATGGGTATTTACTGTAAATTTCAGGGTTCCATGAAATTAGTCGAGGTCCTCGTAAGTTGGCCCAAACACCTACGGTAAAAAAATAATAAAAAATAAAAAATAAAATTATTGAACTTCAATTTAATTAAAAATTTAATCAGACCATTAGATAAATTTTGAACTTCAATTTAATTAAAAATTTAATCAGACCATTAGATAAAATCTAACGCAGTGCTCAAGTGTATTGAAATATCATATTCAACAATCAAGTGAAAAAAAAAAAAACAAAAAAAAAAATTGTCGGTAAGAGAATTTTGTTTAATGTTTTTAGTTTTGAAAATATTAAGTCAAAAAGTTATGGATTATCGTCATAATTTTTCTTAGGCAAGATTACAGCTACCTTTAATAACATTTATGTTTAATTGGAGAAATTAATTAAATTTGGGATTGAACTTATTCTTTTTATGTTATTAGTTACTCGTTGGTTTAATAAATCATTGAGAAAATTTTCACCTACATCAAGGATTATTGATGTAATAAATTTTTTCGATCGCCTCTAATTAACGTCACTTTCCCAATCATTCTATTTCAGTAATAAATTGTTAAGCTGGATAACATATTTCGAGTCGAGGTGAGACTTTTGACATCTCACGACGACCAATTTTGCCACTCCAATGTTCTCCGACTATAAATTATTATTTGTGTTACACCGTTCAACTCTGTTTACATTATAATTTGTCTACTTGATGAATTTTATAAGCATCCAAAAAATGAATTTTTTGACGATCTCATTGTCTATCATAACTGTCTACAACCGTTTATAATAGGCAGCTTACGTCTTCAATTAAATAATAATAAGAAGAAGAAGAAGAAGAAGAAGAAGAAGAATAAGAATAAGAATAATAATAATAATAATAATAATAATAATATTTTTTATACAAGCTCCCCACGTTTTAATATGAAATTTCTTCGTAAATAACCAGAGTTTATAATTGAGTTAAAAGCATATTGTTGTGTATTGTCACTCAGTACATTTTTCGCTATAACAATATTAAAGCTAAACTTCAAATTTAGTCATGTGGATGGACCAAACGAATCTTCAATCGAACCCGAATTAAAGTGGGGGGCCTCAAGTTATTTGAAGGCCAAAAAATTTTACGGTTAGTTTTCAAGGTGGTGTATAGTTAAGATAGTAACTTTTGACGTCATAAAAGATTTAGATCTTGATAAAGTGTGTGATTATTTATTATACAAGAAAGAAGTATAGTAAATTGTCATATGAAGGGGGTCGAGATGAAATAATACTTCGTAGAACCTATCTTTGATAAAATACGAACAAAGATCCTCGTTAACTAGTTTTACAGTAAATAGAAAATTCCTGAGAACATATTTGAGATAGAATAGAACCTAAGTTTGCAATTGCACATTATAATGAAATTAGTATATAAAATGACTAATGAAATTTCCTTATCAATAAATTTTCGATTAATTTACATTTTTTTTTTCTTTTTACTAGTTAGTTAGGCTCCAATAAAATTATGAACTCCAAAAGAAATATCATGTGGGGAATTTTCGATTTTAATTTAATGGGTGTTAAACGACAAAATGTTTGCCGGTGATTTTGTCAAGGTTCTCATTATTGTCTGGTTTAGACAACAGCCCGTGTCTAATCCTCCAAGGAAATAAGGGAAAAGAATAGGATAATAGTTCGAAAAACTTGAATTTGTCAATTTCAATCGGAAAAAGAAATCATAATTTATCTCAAATTGCTGATATAGTATAATCAACTAGATTTTCGATCGTTTGAAGTTGATGCGATTTGAAAAATTAATTAATTAATTAATTTATGCCGCGCAAGTTATTTAATTTATAATAATCGAAAGTTACATCTAGACGTTTAAAGTAAATTAAGATGTCCGCGCAATCTAGTTAAAATTCAGTACAACCAGAGATAGGATCTCATAAACCTTTATTTAAAAGAATAATCATGAATTATTGATCAGATTTTTTGCTAGGGCAAGAACAAAATTGCAACTAAAGGGAAACTCTAGGAATTAAAATGCTTCATTTTAAAGGTTGGCGACGAAAATACAATATTAGTAATATTTTTATTTAGTATAACACAAATGTACAAAAACTTTGAAATACTTGAATTTGCCATCACTGAACACCTTCTCGATCATGGAGATCTTTAACAAACTAGGCCCTCGTTTGGTAGTAATTTTTCACTCAAAAAAATTAATTTTTTAATCATTATTTCATTATTATATTCGTCATTCTTTACTTCTTCACTCACGGATTGGACCCACTTTTCTCTCTAACAATCAAAAAATCAATTATCATAATCACTACCAAACAAGCATTATGCTTTGTGTCGTGAGCTGCAATTTTCTCAATATAATTTAGGTACTTGGCTTGCTAATTTATCGTTATACTGAAGGATATTCAAAAATTTGTGTTCTTGAATATTATTAGCTTTACTTGAACTCGAAATCTTTAAATTTTAATGAAATATTGAGCTGACATCTAAATAAAATAGTAATTAATGATCAGCATGTAGACCATTACGGTAGATTTGAATTTAATTTTCATTTAGAAAAGTTATTAGTACACATAAACTGGCTAGACACAAACAAGTATAGAATAGGGCAATGGGCAGGCCATGCCATAAATTTTTACTTGCGCATTTGAGTGCAATCCTAACATAAGTAGCAGATAAGTAGAAAATAAAGGGTAGCGCTATTTTCATCCACGTTTTTTATAATTACATCCACTTTTAAAAATAAATTCTTATAATATTTTAAATCCTATGTAAATTTACTTAAATAGACATAACAGAATTAAATAAAAATACATAACTCTAAATTGATCCACAAATTTTCATTTTCATTAACTTATCCTAAATCTTTTTTTATTCTTTTAGAATTTGTATTTAATTAGAATCCTAATAGATTAGAAAAATTACATGAATATAATTATAGGTGATGCGTGCCCCAAATTCACGTGCATGCCAGCTTCCCTCCCCAAATTTCTGTACTGTGAGTTGTTTAGGGCTATTCTATCTTTGAAATTTTATTTTATTTGTGGCTAATTGTTTATTCTTTGAATGTTATCTTCAACCTAGTTATCTAATTTCATGGACTTCTATGCTTGTATGTGAATTTTGTTGGAGAAAGCAAATTTTTTCTGAAATTAAAAATCCTTTGTTATTAAGAGTCCAGGGGAATTCTTCAGATCATTCACTTGGACAATTGTACAAACACCTTCAGGGCTAAAATCAAGCTTCCTTACATTGTTCTGGAAGAGGGATCCACTGAAGAGGGGCTTGAAGAGGTTGTATACATTCATGGAGTTGATAAAGAAGGGCACCCCGATTGTTGACGATTTCTAGGTGTCTTACTATCATTTTCATTCTGGCCTGTAGACTTCATCTGATTCAATTCATTTCTTTCAACCTGCTCCCCAATTGTGGATTTTATTTTGGGAACTATCATTTTCATTCAGGCATGTTAAACATTTTTATCTAAACATATATGTGAAGTTTTTCTACTTGAAATTTTGGATTTAAGCATACCACGAAGAGATGATTGAAGCAAACCAATCATAGTCCAAACAAGATGAGTTCCAAATGTTACTCGGTATACTTTCTCTAGAGACAACCCTCCTCCTAATTTGGATGTTGATTTATGATGGTTTGCCTTTGATGAATTGAGTTTTATGAATAAGAATGATAAAATTTCTAATAAAGATTATTAACATGATTAGCTGAATAATACATGTTCACTTAATGTTCAATAAGTTCAACTTCGTTATTATTTCATTCATTTGGTTTAAAAGAGTTTATAATTTTAGAGATTGTGTGAATCTATAGTGTTAGAGATGTATTTAAAATGGGATGAATATATAAATTCACGTGGATATATAGTACTGAGATGAATGGATTTAATAAGGGCAAGATTGAAAATGATGTGGATGTAAATAGTATTTTTTTAAAATTTTATTAGGGATAAACTTAGAGTAGGATGTACTTATAAAAAGCGTGAATGGAAATAGCGGTACCCAAAATAAATAATAATAATTCTTGTAATTAAGATATCTTCAACCGTTGGGCTAGACTTGGTTGAGCCAAAATTCATCCTTTGACTTGCAAAGAACCCAAATAGCCAACCAAAACACAATGCAGCAAGGATTTACAGATGAATTGAAACTTTAGATGCAAATGTCATGACAAAATGTTGATAATTCTACTAAAAAGTACATATAATTAAGTTTCAGTTTAAGTTACACACAAAAAATACGAAAAGAAAAAAAGAAAAAAGTTTTGTTACCTTCAGTACACAAAAGTACCACAAACTTTTTATCCATACATTTGATTTTCGACTAATTCATCCTGCAAGATGATTCGGATATTACTCCAAACCACAGGGTTTCGAAGAAAAAGATGGCTCTTTTCTCCGTTGGGAGGAAAAGGGAAACAAAGAAGAAAAGAGAGTATAAGCTCTGTTAACGAATACATAAACTAAATGGGGTTAGTACCTTCACACGTGTTGTTCATCTTCCGTGCATTTTCTTCTGTGAGAAGAAGCGATACAAAAAAGTAGGGTATAGTATCCACGTCTAATGCCACAAAAGCTGGAAAATCCCAACTACAAGTCGAAAAAAGGATGCCTAGCATTGCCTGTTTGCCAATCTTGAATTTCTCCTGGAAGTGACTTCTGCTGCCCATCTCTTTCCTATTTCAGTTTGAAATTTTCCTTCATGAACATGTATATAACAGATAGTCAGTTGACTGGCTACATGTATTAATCGATACTTCTCATTTTCGAACTGAATAAACTATAAGGTTTACCTGCAGTTGAAAGAAAAAATTCATCCAAAACCTTCCCGTGCTCTGCCATAGTTTCAATCCCAAATTAAAATCATTAGGTAATACATCATCTTAAAACTTAGTAATGAACTGCAAAAAACTTAGAAGAGATGATTGTTCAATCATATAAAAGGTCATAACTAGGGGAATGCCGGGAGTACCAATTACCATGTGAGGGATAAACAAATACTGTGAAGCACCTACACATGGGGTGATGTTCAAACACCAATAAATGTAATTACTTGCATGAAAATCTTAGCCTCCATTTGGGAAGAATTTATAAATAGTTAGAAACGAGTAGTGAATAAGTAGATAGTACCTGTGTGTCCATTAGAATACGTGGTTAAACATGGAGTTTGACCATTTTTAAATGATTTATAAATCTTGCCAAACGGAAGCTTAGTTTTTGTCTCATAGTATTATTAAGAATGAATATAATCATCACTACTGTGAATAGCAACTAGAAAGATTAGCCAACTCTAGCAACATAGCTTGATTAGGAATTTAAAAAATTGCTGTATCATCCCAGAAAATTTCATGATCCACTTACCTGTTTCATACTCCAAGGCTTGCAGGATCATTTCAACCTGAAGATCCATGAAAGTAGTTTAGAAAACCGATGGAAATTCGGTTGGAAGAAAGGAAAAAATGGAATTTTTTTCAAGAACAGTATAGAAGAAAACTTGTGCACACTAGCACACACATTCGTAGACCATCAATATTTTCTAAAGTCTTAAGTGCCATTTACCCCCTTTAACTAGATGCAAGGTTAACTGTATCTCCTCTAGCTTTCAATCACACTTGACATCTTTTTTCTTTTGAAAATACAAAATTCATTTAGATTTCAAAAAGGATAAGCATTACCCTTTAAAACGAACACGCGGCCATTTAAAAAACAGAAGGAAGAGAAGGAAAATCAACAAGCAGCAAGCAATCTCTCCTCCCAAACTCAACGACTGCCAAAAGGATTGTTGCCACCCAATCTTCACTACTACAATTGAGTACCCATCATCACCAGTTAAATCCACCTAACTCTCTGAACTTGCACATCCATGATTTCACGTTCACTAGTTGGACCCAAATATCCTTCCACCCACTCAAATACTATACGCAGTTGCCACTATTTCAAAATCCATCTCATCCAAGAACTACGACAATAAGACGAGAGATGTATATCTCATAAGACTACTTATTTTTATTTTTTGCTGTTAATTAGAGATCTGAATGAAAGAAAATTTTAGGTAAGTTGTGAGAATGAAAGAAAAGGTGAGCTACAACCACTTCAACTTTCCCAAAATCTATAGCGAGGGATGCATAATCTAGATTCTTAAATCAACCAGGATCTGGCCTAGGAATCCACCCCAAGCACTATTTGTTTGGACATTTATGTTGAAGTATCCCTTACGAAACAGGTGCACCCCGAAGTTTGTGATGCTCTGCATCATTCTCCATTTAGAGAATCAAATATGGAACCTCCAGCTCTGATACCGACTTAAAATAAAATTTATCGATGATTTTGGAAACTGAGAACGTAATGATGAGATATCCTACTAGTATTAATTTGGAAGAATGTTTTTTCAATTTAAATGCAAATCTTAAGAATTGACAGAAAAATGCAAAGATTACATACTTTGTCAAAATCTTTCACAAGATTGGCCTCTAAGGAAGAGTTGTTTTCATACTCTTGCCAGAGTTCTTGGATCTCTTCAGCTGCAAACACAAAAATGTAACAGTTACTATTGATCTAATGAGGAGAACAGTATTACCTATAGTCCTTAGTCAAACCTCTCATCCCTCCACCAAGAACCTCACACATTTCATTCAAAGCTGCTTGTTCCCGTCTACTTTTCTCTTCCTTTGGCACACCATCAGACGGTGTTATATCTCCAACAATAGCTACAAAAGGTCATAATAAATGTTAAACAACCTTCATCATGTAAAATAGTCAATGATAACAAAGATTAAGGTGTAAATTAAAAGGCCATACTGTATATGAGAATAATGATGTCACAAGCATTTCAAAGCGAGGGTTTGTGTCTTTGTATATGTGTCTGTGTGCTCGATATCTAAAGCAGCAAAAAAGGTAAAAGACGAAGGATTTAACTTTACTAGATCTTTCGCTAGAACATCAAAATTATAGGTAAGCAAGCTGGGTTTTCCTCTTGTTACAATAGAACAACCAGAAGATATTAGAATAAGAATAGAAAGGTTGCACTGCTTACCCAGCCAGGTCTTTCAAGCATTAAGGTGTCAAATTTATCATTTTCGGTACATACGAAATGGAATTCCTGTAGACAAAAACATTTGGTACCACAGTAATCATTGAAACATCATTTACTAGTTCTTAAAAGATTTTTAACATCAGCTTTCCTAAAGCATGTGACAATTCTTTCCCAATTATTAAAGCTTCAACAATTGTTTCATTCATAATAATTTTTTAAACCTTACTGACTAGCATTTCTCTCAATAGTAATCTTTGAGAGAAATAATGGATTGTTAAAGATTATAGAATGAGCATAATAGTTATGTAAATGTGCAGCAAGCACAAAGTTCACATGGAGTTTGCTAATCTAATGAAATACCAGTTCTTCAAATTCAAAATATAAAAAATCACATAAAACAGAAAACTGGAACAGGAAAATACAAAGACGGAATAAGCCCTAATCCAGAAACTTCATGACGCTGAGTACACTATAATTCAGCTAGAAGTCTCATATTAGTTTAGAGAAAATTGCCATGTACTTCTAATCAGGAGACTGAAAAGGTTATAAGATTCGAAGTGGATTAAATAGAGCAGCTTTCAGCTAGAAATAAAATAGAAGTAATTATTTTTGCACAGTTGAATATTAGACCTATTTCAGAAAAAAAATACAACTGAATCAAGAAAATACCTTCTGCAATATCATGAACAAGTGCTATCTTGATACACCTGTTGTATAAGTTGATAATAAGACAAGATTAATTAGACTACACAAGTAAGCAAGTGAAATTAAGTAATTACTTATTGGTGCGTATCTGTAGCAAACAACAACAGACACCTTTCTTAGCTTTAAAGTTCAGAAAGATTTATGGAGAATTGATGGGAATTGGGAAGTGTTGTGTGTATTATATCATCTTTGATGGAAAAAGCTTAAATATTAGGTTTCTTGAAAGAAGTAGATTACTGAAGTGATGCAATCCACAATTGGAGAAGGTCACAATATGTCAACGATTTAGGTAGTCCAGAAGCACTTGGATACACTTCATAAACAAAACCACGAGGAAGCCCAACTTAAATTTGCTTATTGTCAACGTATAAGCATCAGTGAACATAAAATCCTACTTGGATAGCTTTTAAAGTTGTATAAAATATCTCAATCATCTAACCAAAGGATTAGATAATCGTACAAACAGACTCTATACTATTACTAATTTAGATGTAACTTGTAAAGAACATTTGGCAAGAATTGCTGAAATCAGATAGAAATGAAACCCAATTGGAAAGTGATAACATTTGGGTATGGCCAAAATGACCTATAATACGTTGCTTAACCCAAAAAAAAAAAAAAAAAAAAAGAGCCATTTACTTGGCTAATTAGTTACATATAGATCATTTAATAGCATTTTGATTTTGTTTTTGCGTAATAAAAATTTTAGCATATGAAACAATTTAAATTATTTCCCTTCAAATTATTTATAATA